CTAAGCCACTTTAGCCCTATTTTGTATTTTGTTTAGAGACAGGCTCTCACTGAGTTGCTAAGCATCTCGCCATTTCAGAGGCTGCCTTGGAACTTGCTATTTTCCTGCCTCAGCCTCCTGAGTGGCTGGGATTACAGTAAGATATTAAGTGTGATGATTTTTTTGTTCTTCAGCATTGAATTTGGCCATTTGTGCTTCTTCTATTGAGAAATGCCTACATAGTTCTTTTGCCTATGGATTGATTGGGTTATTTGTTTTTTTTAGGCATTGAGATTTTTGTGTCGTTTATATATTCTGGATATCAATCTGGCAGAGGAACAGGTGGCAAAGATTCTCTTACATTCTGTAGGCTCTTACTTCATGCTCTTAATTATTTCCTTTGATGTGCAGAAGCTTTTTAATTTGGTGTCATCCCATGTATTGGTTCTTGGTCTTGTTGAAGAAGTCAGTGCTTACACCTATATAATGGAGTGTTGACCCTATTTTTTCTTCTAGTGGTTGCAAATTCTTTGGTCTAATTCCTAAGTCTTTGATCTACTTTGAGTTTTTTTGCAGGATGGGAGGTAGGGAAATAGTTTTGTTCTTCTACTTATGGATATCCAGTTTTCCTGGACCAATTTGTTATATTAAAAAGACTATCTTTTCTCCAACATATATTTTTTGCACCTCATCCAAAAAAAATTGCTGTTTTTGTTCCTATAGCTCTGTAGTATAATTTTATATCAGTTGTAGGGATGCCTTTGCCTCACTGTTCTTTCTCAGAATTGATTTGGGTATTCTGGGTCTTTTACTCTTCCAAATGAATTTAGTACTATAAAACACAGATTTATAGAGATTTAAAACCAAGGATGTAACTAGTGTCTAATAAACCATCTAATAAATACAAACCAGATGAAAGTGCAAGAGGAGAAGTACTGGGAGGAATAGACAGGAGTTTGTTTCTTTACGATATAATTAGAGATACAATGAGAGAGAATATAATAACAGCTGAGATGCTAGGTGTATGTAGTTAGAAATGATGCATTTATAAAATCCTATCATTTTTATGAAGAAATTTTACTGGAAAGTTATGAAACTCTCAGTTAAATAATATTTTCTTTTTTCCTAGTTGCTTAAAAGGATATGTCAACAATAGCCTATCCTTCTTTGATTTGAGTGAGCTTGGTATAGGAAAATCTGGTTACTGCAGGTACTTATTTATAACTTATTGTTAACTTTTCTGCTTGCCTTCACCATTCTGTCTCCTGCCCCTGAATGTCAATGAGTCCATTTAAACTATCATTTTGAAGTTTGGGGCAAATTAGGGAAATCTGATACCTCCACACTTTGACCCTTTGATCTCTATTTTTCATATTCTTTTGTTGGCGGTGGGTTTTGTTTATTTATTGACAGTACTGGGGATTGAACCTAGAAATATTCTACCTCTGAGCTACATTTTCAGTCCTTTGTAAATTTTAGTTTGAACAGAGTCTCACTAAATTGCCCCGACTGGCCTCAAACTTGTGATCATTCTGTCTTTGCTTTCCTACTAACTGGGATTACAGGTGTGCACTACAGAGCCTGGGATCTATTTTTCAAATTCTTTCTTTTTGTGTTTCAGGTACCGAGACTACCGAGGCCCCCCTTGGAGCTCCAAACCCTATGAATTCACCTTACAATACTGGCACATCCTTGCTGCTCGATTGGCCTTCATTATCGTGTTTGAGGTTAGTCCCAAATTGAGAAGAAAATTACTGTGGGTAAACGCTTCTGCAACTGACATATCAGTTGCCTCTTTGAAGTCAATTACTCACTTGTAAACAAACAAACAAACAAAGGACTTACATAGGTTCTGGCAAAAGGCTCTGATTCAGATTAAATAAAACTATTATAACAAGTGCCAAAAAACAGGAGCTGAAGAATGTAACAAGGTAAGTTAGTAGGTACTTACACGAGACAGTCAAGGTGGAAGAAACTAATGAAGAGTTAATGCATGTAATTTTGTATAACCCTGAGGATCACAAAATTACGTACATAACCCTTTTGAATCAAATTGTGAAATATGATATATCAAGAAAGATGTAATGTTTTGAAAGACCAACAATAAAAAAAAGAGTTAATGCAAAAACTCTTGAACTTCCTAGTGCCTAGTTTAAAAAGGAAAGGAAGGTTTTCATAATCTGATAAGAGAATTCATACCTATTCCCCAGGTTAGAAAACTGAACAATCAACTCTTAAGTACAGTTGTTCACATATGCATTTGTTTAGGGGACATTGGATGATTCAATAAAGTTTGCCTGAGAGTGCTTTTATTACAATATGGGTTGTGTTTGATGACCAAAGTCACATGACAATATTAAATTATAATTCTATGAAGAAATGTTGAGGAAGCTACAGTATTGTTGCCTTGTTTAAATAAGACAATAGAGTGGAGAATTAATACTGTAATATATTAACTATCTTTGAGGCACTACTAAATCAATGTAAAGATGCTAAATATATCTATTTCCTATGGCCAAAATTGTGAAGCCAAAGATAGAGGCATACCTAAGACTTTTGGGAAACGTATATATTTTTTTTGTAGTTGTAGATGAACAGCATGTCTTTATTTTATTTGTTTATTTTTATGTGGTTCTAAGGATCAAACTCAGTGCCTCATATGTGCAAGGCAAGAGCTCTGCCACTGAGCTATAGCCCCAGCCCAGAAAAAGTATTTTTAAAAGCAACTGTACCTCTCAACTGATTTTCAAAAAGCATTTCATATTTTGTATTGAAATATTTTTCATCTGGAAAATGAAATACTTACTTGTAAAAGTTTCATCCAAGACTGAAATTCTATTTCCTAATGACTTGTTGACCCTATAAAAATGTTTCCTTATGAAGTGAGAATTTCATAATACAAGTTGCATAATTGTTTAATGCATATTTCCAATCAAGTGATTCATTGAAGGTTTTTTATTGTATATGGTTTTTATAGATAAACATTTTTCCCATTCTTTTTTAGAACTCTAGTGAACAAACACATACAACATATCATGATACATACATGTGATTCTCTCTTTATTTTTTTCTTCATTTCTTATTACTAATTCCATCACCCACCTCTCAATAGCACCCACTCTTCTTCTTCAGTGTAAGCTCTTCCACTTGTTTATTTGCATAAATAATTACTTATAAAATATATGTAGCATTATTTTGAGAATTCTTTCTCAAAATTATTTCAGTGGTATAATGCAAGAAAACTCATTTTTTCTCTTACATATTTTATTCTTTATATCTAGAAATAAATCTATTCATGAAACCTACCCATGTTTAGATCACTTCTTCTAAATATGAGAAATGTGTTATTTAAATATAATGAAATATCATTGTGGGTACTTAGGCCTACAACCATTCTCTCTACCTCACATAAATCTCTTATTAATAATTGTGGATTTTGTTATCATTTAATACATTAATGGGTTTCCCAAGAACACATAACCAGATTTTAACACATAACAACCAAAAAATTGTTAGTTTGTCTGTATCCTCAGTTTCATGTAATACTAAGAGATTGTTCTCCAAATGAACTGTATCTATTTATTCTCAGTGGTCGAGGTTTTCCTTTCCCTTACATTTTCACCTGACTTTAATATTATCCTGCTTTTCAATATTTTGTAGTTGTATGAAAGATAAAATTTTGACTTTTTTCTTCTGTTATTGCTGTTTGAATTGTCACCAATGATACTGACTGGAAAACCATTTTGGTTTTCTTTATTTGTAAATCAATATACTCTTAGTCCAGTTTGGTTGAGCTTTCTGTTCATGAGCAAATTTTAAGATTTCCTTTTATATACTACATATTATTGCTTTGCAATCCCTAAACACAGAAAGTATGTATTCCTTTCCATAACCTATTAATTTTATTTAGAAACAAATAACATTTTTGATGTAGTTAACCTCATAATTGCTTTTCTTTTTGGTTTGTTTCATTTTATATGGATTATTTAGGAAAATTTCATGATCTAATGTTCAAAAAAGATATTCTGCTACACTTTTACTATTAACTTTATAGTTTTATTTTTCACATGTCTCTAGGATATTTGTCCTTAAGATACAGTCTTAGGGAAAAGGTGATTTTCTTTTTCTTACTATGAAAAGATAATCTGTAATGTTATTTACAAAATAATCTATAATATATCCGTGATTTGTGTAATTCCATTCTGCAATATTCCAAGTTTTTGTATGTATATAAGTGTATCCCTGGCCTCAGAAATCTGATATATTACTCCGTTTTTCTATTCTAATTCTATATCTTACTAAATGCTATGATTTTATAATATATCTTAGTATCTGACAAAAACAAGCTGTATTCCATGCTTATTTTTATATTTTTATTCTCTTATTTTTTTTTTTTTTTTTTGAGGGGAAGTTATAGAGTTAGATATACTTGTATTATTTTTTAGTTGACATAAAATTTATGCATGTATATGAGGTGTACCATGTCATGCACAGACAAGGTTATACATATCTATTAAAATATTTACCTTTATGTTGAAATCATTTCTTCTAACTTTTGTGAAATATGCAGTACATTATTGTATTAGTTGGCTTTGCATCACTGTGACCAAAATACCTGACAAGAACAATCTAGAGGAGGAAAAGTGTGTTTGGGCTTATGGTTTCAGAGATCTTAGTCCATGGTCAGTCAACTTCATTGCTCTGGACCTAAAGTGGGATAGAACATCATGGTGGAAGGGTATAGTAAAGGAAAGCTGTTCAGCTCATGGCAACCAGGAAACACAGACAAAGAGAGAGGATCCAGGGACAAGATATAATCCCCAAAGGAAAATCTCCAATGACCTACTTCCTCCAACCATAGTTACCACACAGAAATTCATTCAAATTCTTACTCTACCAAATGTATTAATTCACTGATGAGTTGACAGATCTCATAATTTAATTATTTCACCTCTGAACATTCTTGCATTGCCTAACATGAGCTTTTGATGGGACATCTAATATTCAAACCATCGCATTCTACCCTGGCCACCAAATGTTCATATTCATCTCACAAGGCAAAACACTGTAGTCTATCCCCAGTAGTACTAATGCTCTTAACAGTTTGGGCAATGCTCAAAAGTCCAACTCAAAAGTTTCCTGAGACTCAAAGAAAAATCTTGGCTCAGAGGCCCTGCAAAAATCAAAAGCAAGTTACATATATCCAATATACACTGGGACAGAGCAAAGATTTCCATTTCCCTGCAAAGTAGAAGGAGTAGTAGAAGTATTAGTAGCAGTAGTAGTAGTAGTAGTAGTAGAATAGAAAGAAGGATGGGACCAAAACCATACTGAAAGTCACCTGGGTCTCATGGTAAGACAGAAACTTCACAGGACTTGTGCAGTTTAGTTCCCACAGCTTTGCTGGATGCTGTCTATGTGGTCTCTCTGTTACACTAGCTCTGTCCACAGACCGGAGCTTTCCTCAGGTAAATGTGTTTCATATCATTGGCATCTCTTAATCCCTGGCATCTCCATTCCAGCATACCTTCCTTCTTGAAGCTTCATACATAGCCCTGTCAGGGACTGCTCACAGGGATCTCAAACCATGTGTTTTTCCTAGCCTACCAGGCCTTCCTCTGAAATATTATTAGAAGCATCCATAACCCATAACTCTTCCGGGATCCTGTTTATATCTATAGAACCAGCACTATGTAGATGATGTCCGGGTCTGCAACTAGCTCAAATAGGCCCTGACCCTCTTAGAACATGGATGCAGTGGTTGCAGAGGGGCTTTGTGAGCAGGGTCCCCTGTGATCTCTTAAATGAGTTCTTATTTTTACTCTCTGACCTTACCATGATATGACCTTATTTATTCCTGAGATGCTCTCAAGGCGTCTTTTCTGTTGTCTCTGTGCAAAGTACTTGGTTTCTCTGTAACAGAGGTAATTTCTTCAGCAACCACAATTTCCTTGTGCTCTTTTTTATATATACTTCTTCTCTAACCAAACTACAAGTTTTCTAAATCTTTTTTCTCTGCTTTTTGCTCCTGAACCTCATAGTAAAACTGGTTAAAAGTGGTCAGCAATACCTATGCCATGTCCTGAATGCTTTGCTGCCTTGCAATTTGCACCACCAGATTAATTAGAGCATCATCTTTAAATTCAGTCTCTCAAAAAGTCTCAGGACATGGTCAAAATGTTGACAAGTTCTTTGCCAAAATGTAACATGAATAGCCCCTATTAAATGCTCAAGAGTCCTTGTTCTGCTCTGAAACCTCAAGAGCCACAGTCTTTACCCTCCCCATTCCTATTGGTTTCGGGTCTTCTGAAATTCATCCCCACCATCACCACCAGAAGTGTCCATTATGGTCTGCTTACAACATTCAAAGGCTTCTCCACCCTGTACCTCCAAACTTTTCCAAACTCTTCTTTCAGACCAATTCCGTAGGCTTCTAAACACGTGGTCAGGCATGTTACAACAGTTATCTTACTCCTTGTGTCAGTTTCTGTACAATAGCACCCCAGAACTATAACTATCTGATTATGACTATAACTATCTGATTATGACTTTATACCTATTGATCAACTTGTCCCCATCCAACCCTCCCCTCTATTAACCACTAGTCTAGTCTCAACTTCTATGAAAACTTTTTTTTCAGATTTCATGTTTATTGATCTTATTTTTTAAAATTCTCATCGCTACTTGGAGTTTTTAATCATTCATATAAAATTTAGAATTCTCTTTTCAGGTTTCTTCAAATATTGTGAAAGACTTTGGTTATAATTACACTTCTAAGTAGTTTTTGACTTACAAAAACCTGTGCTGTTTCCTTGATAAACAGAATTTGTTCTATTTTATCTTTTAATTGAGATCTAAAACAGCTGTTGCTTCTTCCTTTTTAAGTTTATTACTATAAACTTTGTAGATATTTCATTGCTATTATAAGTTATAGCCTTCATCATATGATTTTCTTGTTTTTTGATGGTGTACTGGAATGTTAATTATTTTTCTAAGAGGAACACAGTTCCTTGTATCTCACATCTGTTGAGTTATCATAACAAATGTCGTATTATTTTCAAATAATGAAGTATTGCCTTTTCATTTGCAAAGTTTATACCTCATCTTTGCTTGTCTTACTGTACTTGAAATGAATGTATGTTACTTAACAGCAGGAACAACCAACCATGTCTTATTCTCAACTAAAAAAAATGCTTCTATTTTTAACTATGATTTCTGTAGGTTTGTTTAAGATTAACTCTTTATTAGTTGGAGAATTTTTTTCTATTAATAGTTATCTAAGAATGTCTTGATAAGTGGGTATTAAACTTTAGGAAATGTTTTTTAGAAATGCAGTTTAATGTTGAACCATCCTTGCATATCAATCTATATGAATCAGTTTATAGGACATTTAGTATCACCAAACAGGGCATAGAAAATATCCTTCTTTACTAATTTAAACCATGATGATTTAAAAAAATTATTTCTATATTCCTGAGGCTCAAAAATAAATATTTTGAAGACAGTACATACATAAATCATCAAGAAAGAAATTTCTGAGCATCTGATTGAAAATATGACCTGCTTTACTGTGCTCTACTTTGCAATGCAGTTTCTGAGGACACTATCCCAGATAGAAGTGCCTGGGAGACTATTGTCTACTAAAAGTTCTTTATGTAAATGTGTTCTTTTTCACAGATCAAGTGTCAGATTATTTTTCCTTTTTGAGAAATTGAAAGATCTACTCTTCTTTATAGAAATCTAAAAAGGATGCATTTATAATAGTAGGAGGTAATATTCAAGCAGTGCTTATACTATGCTAAGTACTCCTTTAAGCCTCTTACACACAAACACACACACACACACACGCACACACACACACATTTAATCCTCATACCCACATCCCTTTAAGAAGCACTATTTGTATCATCCTTTCAGGGATAAGACATGGAATGTGGGTGATGTTTTTGAAGGTTAGATAGCTAAATAGTGTTGTAGGATTAAGACTTAAGCAGAATGATTCAACATCTGTACATTTACTAACAACCATTCTATCTTTTGAGTTTTATTCTCACTTTGTTTAAACACAATATTTTTGTCAGTTTATTTTAAAAACAGAAGTATTATGTATTGTATCATAGAAGAATAATATGTTGAGTAAAACATGTTATAGCAGTTATTACAGTGATATATAAATCTATTACAGTACAAATTCCAGAAATGCATGTGTTGGAGTGTGACTCTAATCTTATTATCAGAGGCAGCATGTATTCTTGTTTCTTTGGACTCTGTGTATTATGATATATTGGACATGAACTTTTCCAGGATATGCTTTTTCTCTTTTGTATATAATAATTCATCTTAATAGAAGTATTGAATAATATGTAAGTATTTTATGCACATGAATTTGATTCATTCTATGTTTACAAATTGATATAAAACATGAAATCAAGAAGAGGAAAAGATGGGTTTCCTCCTGATACTAATGTGATAGCAGGTAACAGTATATCATTCCTAATACAATTTTTTAAAATATTAAAAATATTCAAGACACTGTCTACTACATTCTGACACATGATGTTAAGACAAATGCAGAATTGTTTGTGATTTTCTGTCCTGTTTAAAAATTGTACTTCAAAATGTTTGAAAATTGTACTTTCTACTCTAATTTGTAGCACCTCGTTTTTGGAATTAAGTCATTCATCGCATACCTGATTCCAGATGTACCAAAGGGCCTACATGAAAGAATACGACGGGAGAAGTACTTAGTCCAGGAAATGATGTATGAGGCTGAACTAGAACATTTACAACAACAACGGAGACAGAGTGGTCAGCCTGTTCACCATGAGTGGCCTTAGTTGATACCATTAGTGCAAGAGGGGAGGTACCATTAGTTGCAAAAGAATGATGTTAATTGAAAATCTAGATGACATCTCAGAGGAAGGTATATTTGACAAAACGTAGCCATCATATGTTACTTGGAAATGTATCACAGCAATCTCTGGGATTTGGAATGTAGAAGTTTCTAGGGAAGGAGATAATAACTTGTGACCTTAAAAAGAGGTTAGGCTGATGATGTAGGAAGCCAAAATTTAATTCTCAGAACCAGTCTCAGGGAGTTGTGTGGTTGGAGACCTTCCCTTTCCATTGGCTGCAGTGCAGTAGGAGGGGTGGTAGTGACATTCTAAAGACATATGTTTGTGTAAATATTCAAAAGCCAGTCATGACTTAAAAGTATCATGTGGTCTTCACTCACACGATAATCTGAGTTTGGAACCTTCAGTTGAATTGAGATACTTACAAGAAATATCTTAAATCAATTATTGCCTTTGCTGCCAGAAATCCATGTTCCTCTGGCTTACATGTTAGTAGGAATTTCCCTGACTCTTGATGAATTTGTGGATATGTTTGAGAAGGAATGTATGCTGCTTTGCATTGACTATGCAGTTGAAGAGTTGCACATCACTTTTGGTAGTCAACCCAAAAATCTAAGATTCCAAAAATAATGCCATTCTTTGAAACAATAGTCTATTGCATTGGCTACATTCAAGTCTATTTTATTACTGGCAGAGCCAGTTGCACTGCACATTTTTTATACTAAATGCCAATAACCACATAGTTAGAAAAAACAAATGGTTATTCTTATATCATTTAAAACACAACTGATCCCTACTCTACTATGGAAGGCTGGTTTACAATATATTTAATGTTTCCCTCACTGAATTATTGCAAATCATAGAGAATACTATCTTGACATGCTGTAAATATGTTGATTTTCCTTGTACCTTTGCACCTTGACAGTATGTAATGCAAGTTCAATTTATGCTGCAGCTCTGAGACCAGTTACACAATTTGCTATTGTAATGTTTATTCAGGAATTCTGAAGCCAGATGCTCTACAACACTTGTGATTAATTTACAATGTGCATTCATGAGCTAATGAAAATAATGCATGTGTATAAATCTATATTATTTGTAAAAATACTTTTTTGAGTTCTTTTTCATCAGTGAAGGGAGATTTTTGTTATTTCTTTGATAGATTGGTTTGGTTTATTTTTTAAAACTGTGTAGAAACAAAGTCAAATTTATTGTGAATGAGATAATTGTTGCTTTGTTGTGAAATTCTTATTTTCAGTGACAACACTATCTGTCCACAGTCTGATAGAGCAAAAATGATGAGGCATTCAACTAAAGAAAATCCAGAGTAGGCATTAACTATGAGGGTAGGGTAGAAAGAAAGACAAGGGCTAAGGTCAGGCAATGTATGATAGGAGTCAAGGTATTTTCCTTGCAAAATAGAAAATCCAAATTTTCTTCTCCAGGGAATTAGTCCTTGAAACACACACACACACACACACACACACACACACACACAATTACTATTGTTTGTCCAATTAATTCTTGTCCAATTAAACAGTACATTTATTATCAAGATGTAAAACACCAGTTTAGACACAGTAGAAAAGAAGAGCACTTTGTGATTGTGATATGTTGGTATTCCTCTAGTAAAGAAATTATAGAGGTTCACTTCTAGAAAAACATTTTTCTAATTCTAACACTGAGAAAAAAAAATTCTGCATTTACTATTTACTTCTTTCCCTCTGGGGAAAAAGTTATTAAATTATAGTTGTTTCATGGTTCTTGTCCAGAACATTTTCTTCCCTACTTGCCCTCTAATTTTGAACCAGGCAAAAGCCTCACAAATACTGGCCACACAATACTCTTTCATTCAAATTATAATTAAATTCTCTAGCTACACAATGGAGTTTTAAACTCCATTTTTGTAGCACCAGTGTTTTCTTTTCTTTGCTAATTATATGCACATGACTGATTATAAATACTCTGTTTACTCTGACATCTTTTCCAAATTAAAAACACAAGACAATACTTTAATAAAATTGTAACACATTAATTTAGAAAAGTTTTTCCCTGATAATCTTGAAACAGATGTGCAAAATAGAGGGAAAGATTATCTGAAATCTTTTATCATGAATTAGTACAGTAGACTAGCTATGCCTTCGTCATCGTTGACAGTACAATACTGACAGCCCCTCACAGTATATTAGTTTTAGATTATTCTGTTTAGGCTGAAAAAAATATTTTATATCTTCATTTTCATATGAATACAAATTATTTCTCAAAGATTTATAGCGCACACTATTCTCAGGAATACTGTATTACATGAATGCTGCTTATATATTTTCATATTCTAACTTCTTGTCTTTTTAAGCTAAAAAATAATGACTCTGTGCATGCAGTCTGCCTTGATGAGTTGTTCAGAGCTGAAGAGATTCTCAAAGGAAAAATCACTCTAGATTATAGCTGAAATAGTTCACAAATGTCTGAGTTTGTGCACGTACTTTTAAGTAAAATGCTGAGTGACTGCATGATGAGATGCACCTTTTAAATGCTGCACATACTTCTAAATTGACTCTTAGCACAATCTATTGTACAATTGAATAAATGCAGAAATTTTGACTCAATAAATTATCATTTGATATGGTATTTTTTTCTATAATTCATGTGTTAAATTTAATTCTGCTGAGTTTTTAAATGTTAAATTGGGATTTGTTGTATGGGGAGAGAGAATTGCTCATTCATTAGTTATATAAAACAACAGTTGCTTATTCTTATCCCATTCTTAAGAAGTTCTCACTATCTTCTGATAAGATTATTGTCATCGTCAAGACATCTGCACATTAAAATGCAGATGGAATATCACATTGATGCAAATAATGTTTTGTGTTCAACACAGATGGGAAAGTCAGCTTGAGTAGGTCTTGTGAGGTAATAACAACAATGTTTTACTTAGCTTTTCCTCACTATGACCAAAATACCTCATAAGAGCAACTTAAAGGAAGTAATGTTTATTTTCCTTCATAATTTCAGAGGTTCAGTCCACGACTGACCAATCCCATAGCTCTGGACCAAACGTGAGGCAGAACATTGTGGCAGAAGAAAATGACAGAGGAAAATAGGTCAGAAGATTGCCACCAGGAAGAAGAGAAAGCTAACTCCACTCACTGGGAATAAACTATCAGCTCCAAATAAATGCATGCAGTAACTCACCTCCTCCAGTGACACCCCATCTGCCTACAATTACCATCCAGTTAATCCATATTAGTGGATAAAGCCACTGATTAGGTTATGACTCTCATAACTTAATCATTTCACCTCTGAACTTTCTCACATGAGTTTTTGGGGAACACAGCATATCTAAATCACAAGACTCCTCCCCTGGAAACTCATGCCCATCTCATACTGAAAAATATACTTAGTCCATTTTTAAAAGTCTACATAGTATTAACAGTTCCAGCAATATGGAAAACTCCAAGTTCAAAATCTCCTCAGAAACTCAAGGCAAACTCTGTAAAAATCAAGTGCTATTTTTTCAATATTTAAAAATTTCCACCCTACAAAGGAGAGATAGTGGCACAGGAAGAAGAGATGAGACTGAAATCTAGCTGAGCAAACAAGTCCTATAGTTCCATGTCCAGTATTTGGGTCACATAGTATCAAGATGATCTCAGCTTTGCCTCTACATAGCTGATTCTTGTGGCTTTCTTCAGTAGATGTTATATGATCCTGCCATCTTTTAATGTCACTTAGCTCCCTTCTCATATCTTCATGCAACAGACTTTCAAGGGCAGCCCACAAGGACTCCTACCCTATTACACTTTCCCTGGCCCCCTCAGGCTTTCCTTTGAAATATCAGTGGTAGCCTCCATGACCCCCCTAAATCTAACATCCTGCGTTCTTGTAGCACCAAAACCATATAGTTCGCAAGCAGTAGCCAATCACCTGGGACCATGGCTTCAGCAACTACTGAGTGTCTGTCGATGGAGAATTGTGAAACAGCTTCCTAAGCCCCCTGTCTATCAGGGTACACCTCTGGTCTCATCTTGATCCTGAGATGGGTGTGGTCATGCCAATTCCTCAGATGCTGTCAATCTGTACTCCTATTGTCTCTTGGTAAAGTACTTTGCATCTCTTTAATGGCTATAACATCTTTAGCAACCATATCTTTCTTGGCCCCATATTTACTCCCACTTTTCTGGACAAAATGAGTTTTTCAAATCTTTACACTCAGCTTTCTACTTCTGATTATCACAATGAACTTGGATCCAAGCTACTAGCAATATCTATGCCACTGCTGGAATACTATGCTGTCTTGAAATTTCTTCTGCCAAATTAATTAGCCATCACATTTAAATTCATCCTCAAAGACAATTTTAGAACATGAGCAAAATTTAGAAAATTCTTTGCAAGAATTTAACACAAATATCCCCTAGTCCAATTTCCAATATTGTCCTCCTTCTGCTTTGAAACCTCATGAGCTCAGTCTTTAATGTCCACGGTCCTGTAAACATTCTGGTCTTCTGAGTTCCCACCAGAATTTGCCATTAAAGTCTGCTTACAATATTCCAAAGCTTTTCTGTCTTGAATCTCTAAACTTTTACAAAATTAAAAAAGTTCCAAAAATTACTGAATCACATGGTTAGGTTAGTCATATCAATAACCCCACCTCTCAGTACCAATTTCTGTTTTGCTTCATTTTTCTTTCTGTGAGCAAAATACCTGACAGGAACAGCTCAAAGGAGGAAGTTTATTTGGAGGTAACAACTTCAGAGATTCAATCCATAGACAGCTGGCTCTATAACTCTGCACCCAAGGTGAAGTAGAGCACCATGGCAGAGGTTGTAGCTAAGGAAAGCAGTTCAGAATGTGCAACCAGGAGGTAGAGAGAGCTAGCTCCATTCACAAGAACAAAATATAAACCACAAAAGCACACCTCCAGTGACTCACTTCCTCCAGCTATACCCACAGTATATCTACTACTCACAGTTACCATTCAGTTACTCTGTTAATCCAGGTGTATTAACCCACCAGCTAGGTAACACCTTTAATAATATAATCATTTCACTTCTGAATGTTCTTGCATTGTCTCACATGAATTTTGGGGGGAAGCTTCATATCAACACCATAACACTCTCATCACACATAAGTATTTAGTTTTTTTGTCATGCATGTGTTGGCTCCATCAACTGCCATCAAAATCTCCTTGGAACAGCACTTTTATCACAGGTAAAATACATGCCAAGAAAGGAGAACATGCAAGAATATTATAGCCAATAGTCAATCAAAAGCTACTGACCTGCTTTGTTTTTATTGATTTGATGGTCAAAATTGAAAATCTAGGTTTCCTGCAGAGTTGCTTAACTGATATGACTGGACTGGTCAATTTGTGGCAGTTAAAGACAGGCCTTGGGGTATCATTTTCAAATGTTTGTCACCTATTGTCTGTGAGATATACCCTACTTGGTCCTCCTATGGTCATCAGAAATTTGTATTCCATTTATTTCCCAAATCAGTATTATAATGGACCCAATTATAGTTCTAGGTTTTGTCCAGAGAATCAATTAACATCTTATTTCATTCCTGGTATTTTAATTCAGTTTTCTGACAGAAAGGAAAACATTTCCCTATATGCATTTCTGTTCAAAATGAAATATGACAACATCACATTGTCCAAGAGAAAGATGAAGTGGGCCTTAACTCAAATCATTGATCAGTGCAGGCTCCTGCTACCTAGGATTTGTGTCTTTGTTTGGTAAAAAAAAAAAAAAAAAAAAAAAAAAATCCCTTCAATTGAACTTGCCATCTAAGTTCATATGAAAAAAAAACATACTCATGACCCCAGATAATGGCTTTCTAGAGAACATGAATATTATAGCCACTGAATCCTAGCTTCACTTGCATTAAGACATCTTAAAAAGAAAAAAAAGTAAATTAAAACAGACATGTTGGTAGAGAAAATTCTCATAGTTGGGAATAGTTCCGATCTCTGGTACTATCAAAGTCCATACTCAGGGAGAAGCAGCCTCTACATCAATCTCACTCTAAGACTGGACCAGTGTGCGCTTCTGCACAGCTCTCCCTTGAGAAAGGCTCTTGTTCCACATTCACCTGGCTCTAAGTAAGTATGAATTGCACTAGACAATCAGCTGTGAAGGTGTTATTTCACATCTTTCCTTAAAAATAAAGGAATGAAACTTCTTGGCCTTGTACTACATTGACTGCCTTGACACTTTTTTTCCCCATCTTAATTCTTTCTGCATGGAGAAAGCCATGTCTCCACTCTCTTTTATTTTTCAGAAAGCCTTTTTTCTTCAATTGTTGGTTGAAAAACAAAGCTTAAATGAGATTTACTTACATTGTCCCCATAAACACAATTGTTATGTAGGTGGCTAGACACCTGTGTTACAAAGGCTGCCTGATGATTATTTTGTCAATGCCCATGGAGTTCAGTGCTACTGGGTAAATCTTTACTCCAAATTGAATACTTTTTATAGAAAAATAATATGAGCAGATGATACTTTTCTTGGTGCCTGTGTCTAAGAAAAGAGATGGCAAAGATATTTGTGGAAGCAATTTTTTTTTTTTGAGATTGTGAAAGCAACTTAGGGATTTCCAACCTAGGCAAAGAGTCTACTCTGCAAGTCCTGTTCAGTTTCTGCTGTACATGTACCCTGTCTTCTTTCTGATTGAAAACCAAACCACAGATTATCTGTAATCTCTGAAAAATAAATGAAAAAGTTTTTGAATCTTCTTCATCTCTTTTTTTTCTAATCTGTTAAAACATATGTAATTAAATCCAGTAAGCTTAATTTTGGCAACTACAATTTTAAGTACTGAGGATAAAAATGTTCTTAAAGGTATATGTAATTTTGATCTTTTAAGATTCATATCCATTGGCCTCTGTATTGTGTTTTTGAAGTAGGAAAAAGCTATTAGCATCTATAATTAAGAAAAGAATTTTAGGATGACCAGAAGAGACAGAGTATTTCCTCCATCCATTTTTCCCCCTGTCAATAGGAGAAATTATGTTGTAATCATATATTTAACCAGATGAGTATAAATGTTAATGTTTATACTTCTATAGACCCTCTAAATATCATTAAAATTTATGTTCTGTATTTATAATCATTAAACATTCTTTCCGAACTCTCAACAAATTTAAAGTCAATTTAAATAAATTTTACTCTGGTGATATGAATAAAATCAAAATTTAAGGAAGTGCTGATAGGTCAACATTCTTGAAAGCAATGAACATTAAAGATAAGTTAATCTATAAATATTTATAATATATATTCTAAATCATTGAGTAGCATTGCCTTATTGCTCACTTGTCTGCAAATTCAACCTGACTTTATTATACTGATATAAATAAGCTATTTGGGGCTTGTTTCTTACATGCAATTACAATAGGGCATTAAATTAATATACCACATGAAATACCCTAAGCCTTAGAAATGTGTCAAAAAAATGGTTCTGTAATTGGTAGTACTAGGTATTCTGTACACTTGAAATGAATTTTTTTTTGTACAGGGTATTGAACCCACAGTGGCTTAACCACTGTGCCATATTCCCAGCCCTTTATTTATATATATATATATATATATATATATATATATATATATATATGTTTTTAAATTTGAAGATAGGTTCTTGCTAAGTTGCTTAGGGCCTCACTTTGAACTTGCAATCCTCTTGCCTCAGCCTCCTGTGTGGCTAGGATCAAGGTGAGCACCACCACACCTGGCTATTTGAAGTGATTTTGAAAATTCCTGAGAATACATAGGCTAGTGTCCACAAAAGGTAGCATCATTATGTATTGTTTTACTCTGTTTATAGTAACCTGATTTGTTTAGTTATAAAAACTCTCTTGATGTTTACTTTGTGTGTGTTTACAGGTGTGTGTGTATGCAAGTGTGTATGGATCCTAAGTATCAATGGGCTAAATATTACAGGCATTATCCAAAACATCATAAAGGAATCTATGTTATATAATATGGCAAAGCTTACCATGACATGTTTACTTAGTCACCTGCTAGACATGCCTTAACCTATCAGGTTTACATTGAAGATTTTGGGGTAGATGACCCTTTTACATTCCATTCATAGAAGAAATATTGACAATGACCATTGCAATGCTCTTCAACCAGAATTTATTTTTAAAAGAAACATAATTATATACCTTAATTACAAATCATTCTCCAGAAATTTTTCCTAAGATTCACTAGTTGTAAAAACATGCCACTCTTTTTTGAAGTATTCAGGACTCTAACATTAAAAGATGCATATATTTTTGGAAATGCAAAATCCACTTATGAAGCTTCCTACTGATTCAGAGAATACCATTGCTGACATTTTCCTCCAATGGCTATTTTTCCAATTTGTGACAAAAGCCTCATACTCCAGGTAAAGATAATGTAATGATAAAGTAACCAAATATTTATAAAGTTAACTCTCTTCTGAAAGTAACTATACTTCAAATACCAAAAGTACAGTACTGGAAAAGTAGACTGAAGACTGTTATTCATGTAGGAGTTTGCAAACTACATTCACCAAATCAGGATTTGGGGATGAGAAAGGAAATAATTTTAGCTATTTCCAAAAATTACAAATAATAATAACTCTTTAGATTATTTACTCTGAGCTATAATTGATTCGTTTAGAATGTTGTATCATTTTCATATGTACCACCGATGATTCAAATACATTTTAATTGTTTGGAACTAGGTTATACTACAAAGTTATTAATGCTGGAAAAAAGTGGTTAGCAAAATCCAGCTACTTTCCAATATTTAAAATAAGCACATGTTATTTCTAAATATATAAATGTACACATATACAGTCTACATATATGTGAGGCATGAGGTTGAAAACAGAATCATTCTAATTTTACCAACAGTGTCAGGGTAGAATTTACCAGGCAGATTCCCTTTTCCCATTCTGTTTCTATAGCTCCAAGATACTGATGGTAAAACTACAAAACATAGGTTGGTGGTTTAGCACTGTGGTAGAACAGGTATTTAGCATGAACACGGCCCTGTGTTCAATCACACACACACACACACACACACACACACACACACACACACACAAAGAACAAAATAAACACAAAAACCTGAAGTTTTATATGACACAAATCATATTCTTTGACTCCTTCCACTATGGTGAAATCTAGTCCTAATTTATTAAAGAAGGAAATCCCCGGGCATGTAGAGCATTGCTGATTTTTTGTAACTTCAAACTGGGGATCTGCAAAGAATATCCTAGGGAACAGTCATTTCACTTGTATAAATAAGTATAAATAGATATTGAGCAGCCTTTTCTTCTAATAATGACTAAAAATAATGACTGCTATACATCTCTACTAACATTAGGCAAGAAGTGTGTGTGTGTGTGTGTGTGTGTGTTCCTGTATATGTACACGCTTGCATGTATTGTCCTAAAAATAGGTCATCTTCTCTAATGCCATATTGTCATGGCTTTTGTCCTTGGGGTCATATCCTGGAACATGAGTCAGGCTTTCTTGCTGGAGTCCATTCTGCAAGACAGATTCAGCCCCTTGTTTCCAGGCACCGTCATTCGCAAGGTTGTCCTGAGAAAAATGGAAAGACACATAGTAACAAAATAGTCAAGGTACTCCAACCCACCTAGAGGGATATCACTCAGGTCTCCCTTTCAAATAATAACTATATACAAAAATGGTCCAATAACTGACCCTAGACTGCTTAACTGATAATTTTGATAATAATAACAACAAAAACAACAATTTATTGAGCATTTACAATGTTTTGTGTTACCTGAGGATATTTATACATCTCTCATTTAATACAGCAATACTATGAGGTAGTTCCTTACTGCATGAGGACAGACAAGCCTGTGATTCAGGTGGCAGTGGCCTGTTCCTACCTGTGAACAGCAAACCCTCTGGAGGCTAATGGAAATACCTGCATGTAATCTCTCCTGCAGACAACTCAATGTTTTGTGGCAAAGGAACCTAATAGTGACACCCTAAGTCTTCCTTCCCACTCTCAACGCAAATCTTGAGAATGTAAGCTTCTCGTATTAACACAATTTATTACTTATATATGAGGAAATTCTCACTCAGGAAATAAGTCTTTAAACCAGTTCATAACTGGATTCAAGAACTTCCTTGAAATCCACTTACACAAACAATGCACTGTTCAACTACTACCTTCTTAGAAAACTAAATTGCTGATCTGAATGAATCATGCCCTCTCAGAACTCTAGACTGTTGAATAAGGCAAACTTTTTATTTATTAAGCCATTGCTTACTTTCCAAGAAGACTGGCTTCAGTACCCCCACCCAGCTCAGTTCTCAGTTCTCAGTTCTTTTTCCTATTTTGAACTTTCATATCATGGTTTTGTCCAGTTTTAATTACATCCCTGCATTTGCATTTAAATATCCCCCTAAAATCTCTTGATCCTAGAACCCATTCTGAGCCACAAAAAGATGGTGCTATTCCCAAATGCAATAGATATTAAATTTAGCTTTATGTCATAACACAATTATGGGGAAGATAGCAATTGACAGAAGAAAAATAAATGATATGACATGGGTTAAGAGTCTCAAGTTCTATGAGAATAAAATGGGGATGAAAAAGTGAAAATAAGCTTAAACTAAAAAAGAAAACTGAAAACCAAAAACCACAAAAAACAAAAGATCACTCCTGCCATTAATCAAGTTGGGAGGGCAGACTGATGAGCCAGCTACAAACTGGCAGGAAATATTGCTTCCTTGAAATCCTGTTGCTGTCACATTCCATAATAACACTTTGACTATTGTGCTCTTACCAATACTGACCAGGGAAGTTTAGGTTTATTTCCTGCTTCCCTTTAACACCTCTCAGAATCCTTCAGCAAAAGCCCAAAACATGCAAAAGATATGTCCAGCCCCCACTGTTGTAGAAGGTGGTATTATGTGGGTCCTCTGCAGCACCCCAGCATGCTGCATCAAGTCAATAAGTCCAACTTGATCAGACTGTAGGCTGTCCCTGATGGTTCTTGGCTGATGATGAATTTGGTAATGCTCAGATACTGTGTCTAGCTTGGTTTGGCCTAACTGCACTTATGGAGTAAAGATACTGGGAAGTTAGGTGCCTCTTTCTGCATCTCTGCCTGTAAGTTCTCTCAATATTGTATATTTTTACCCCAAAGAACAAGAAGTGTCTCTCTGTCCACTTCATTCTGCACAATCACCTGCCCCCATGCTCAGTTCTCAGACAAAAAAGCTGAAATTTGGAGAAGTTAAATAACTCATGGAAGGAAAGACAGACATGGGACTGGATTAGTCCCAAAGCATGTGAATCTAAAACCCAGGCTTTTAGCCTTTACTGAGACTGAGGCTCCTTGTTCCCTTTCTATTATTTATTTATCTTGCCTAGAATTCACCTTCACATGGGGTTAAAAGGAACTTTGAAAATAGGTCACTTGCAATGCCGGCAATTCAGATCCAAGGCACATTTACCTATTGTGTTCATATGCTTGAAAGGTAATCAGCTGAGGAAATTCTGAAGTTGAGACCTAGATTCTTTCAAGTTCTAACATCCACTGCTTTCCTTCACCAACCCCCACTCCCACCCCTTGCAACTGGCTCAAAATGGGCAAAACAGGAATCTCTTTGAGCTAATGTTTGGTTTTAAAAGCTTAATCTGCTCACCTGCTCTGTCCCACGGTCATGCTGAACTCCACACCAGCACAGAGTTTTATATTTCTTAGACCAAAAGCAAAATAAATTGCAAACTGGTCTAATTAAGAGTGGGTCAACATCCTTGCCTCTTTGGTGACCTATTAACAAAAGGACAGGTGGATTAGATGGTTAAAGGCTTCCAGGATTTAAGCATATCAACTTGAGAAGTAATTTGCTTCTTGGTAAAAGGGTGAAAACAGGCCTGACAGGTTAATAAATAGAACTGGAAAGAATAAATAGAACTCCTGAAAGAAAGGGGTTGGAGTTGGTTTTAAAAAAAAAAAAACATGAATTGTCAGCTCAGGAAAACTCATGTCTACAGAGTAAAACAGAGAAAACACATTTATTTTAAAATGTTTAGAATGGAAAAATCTACTAATAACCTTCACAGGCCAACACAAAGGGGAAATCAGGAATTATATTTATTCAAGAAAGTTCTTAGCTTTTAATCCAAATCAGATATAATATTCAAGGTTATTTAAGACGTTATTTTTAAATTATAATGTTTCCTTCTATCTGTCCTCCTGGATAAGCAATACCATCGTTTCTCCCCAACCACTCTAGACACTCTTCATGTCTCTTTTTCCTTAAAACATATCTGTTCATGCTCCATTTCTTCAAATCCTGCTGTTGAACAAGATTCACAATGATGATCAAAACAAGATTTAAAGGTTCATGATGTTCTTCCTCCCCAAACCTTTGCAAATTTGGTTTTATCAAGGCTATTTATGAATACTTAATCTCATTACATGTTAGCCATGAGTCTGACAGCTAGATTAGTCTAAAGGACCTAGAAGAAATAGGGGAACAGGAGTTACACGTATCAAGCAGATTCCTCCTTGTACTAGACACTGTGCCCATCCATGAGCATTCCCTCAAATTTCTTTCTAGGAACATACAAAATTTAGATTTTCAAAATTGCAAGTTAATTTTCAAATAAGATATTTCGTGACATTATATGAGTCTGTCAAGAGATATTTGACCAAATAGAACTCTACTGCTATTGACAGTAATATTTATCAATTAGTGCCTTCTACAAATTAGGCACATTATACTTAAATTACTCCTTATAGCTAGGCAAGTGTTGTTACAAAGGAATTTTCTTAAGACCTACTAAATGATGGAGCAAGAAATTAACCATACATGGTATTAAAGCCTGTAACACCCAATTTACCCTAATGTGTATGGGCAGTAAGACTAGGCAAAACCTCAAACTACTCTCCAATCATGATTCTGAATCAGAAGAATTTAACTTAGAACCAAACTACTCCCAGGGTTTAAAAAGAAGATAGTTCTCTCTGAATAGACCACTAAACTATCAAACACTCCAATAAATAATATGGATTTGAGGTTTGCTAACAAATAAAAGGCTCTTTGTTTCACATAGATTTAGGACCTGTTTCCATCTAGAAAAAATAATGACTGGGAGATTGTAGAGAGTAAAGCAAAGTACAGGGCTATAGTTCTCATGAGTAGGAAGTTAAAAAAGAAAATGAAACTTAAATCTTGGGTTTATGGCTTTAATTATGAGTAAGACCTTGGGGACTGGGCATGACTGAACTTAGACTATTGGACTACGGACGTATGCGTGTGAAAGGAGAAGGTCACAGGGGACAAGACCATTTCCTGTAGACAAATGAGGTTTTGGCGTTTTTTTTTTTTTTATGCAAAAAGAAGTTCTCAGATGAAGAAGAAATTTCATGAGTTGTATTGCAACTTTGGGAGAATTTGGAAACGTTCCCCTTTTTCTCTGAATAGAGGCAACCATATGCCAAGGTGCTGAGTTGGGGATGGAATCCATTCCCCATTTATCTCCTCTGCTGGCCACCCTGTGCAGAGCACAAGCCCCCTAACCCAATATAGAATCCCTGATTTCAAAACATAGGTAATACTGGAAGTCAGAAAAGCTAGGTCAGAAATGAAAAGGAGTTAATGGGAGAATATGAAATGTCAGAAACTTTGGGGAAAAAGACACTGTTCTTGAAGTTTCAACAGAATGAGAAAGGTATGTGTATAAGAGTGTATGAGAAAGAAAAAAGAAAAGAGGAGAAAAGGGAGAGAAGAGAGTAAGAGACTAAATGCAAGGAGGCCACATATAAAAATTAGGAATGAAAATAGCATAGAATTTGTCAGCAGCAAACTGAAAGATAGAAGATGAATGAGCTACATCATAGCATCAATATAGAGCTACACAATTCCTATTGATTTAGAAAGTCCTACATTAATATTCTCCAAAAAGATCAATGATCTAGGGCAAGAATCAACAAAACTTTTCTGTCAGGGGCTAAATAGTAAATATTTAAGATTTTGCTGGCCAGAGACTATGTTGCTATGATTAACCTTATCTTAGTAGAGTGAAACCAGATAAGAGTAAAATGGTAGGCATGCTGTGTTTTTATAAAGTTTTACTTACAAAAACAGGTGGTAGGTCAGAGTTAGCCTTAGTTGAACAAACTTGACGTAACAGATAAAAATAATGGGCTGACTGAAGGCTTTATATCTAAGACTTTCAGATACATAGCAGGTGACATAAAATTGATAAGATTCAGTTAAATATGAAGGGCTATACACTGAAAATCAGAGCAGCATAAAGCTATTCTTGCTCTCCTAACAATGGGATATTCTGGCCATTTAACCAAAGAAGAAAGATTTCTGCTCTTGACTTAGGAAATGGTATTTTCATTTCACATGACTATAAAAAATAATTAAAAAAGAAACTTTCAGCTACCCAGTAGAATTTTGCCAGTCATAAGACTTTAAAGTATATCTGGGTCCAATATCACCTTCTAGTAGCTGATGCAAATTAGGATTGATAACTTAGAAAGCCTTAAGGTGCTAATCAATAGAATTAATTACATTTGCTAACAAGTATGAGGGATATGATTATCTGGGAGAAGTAGAATTGAAACCATCCCTTTTAAGACCAAGAAAGACTAAGTTTGAATATGGTACAAGAGAACAAACTCAGAGAGCCCTGCCTTATCTACTAAATTTATCCCACAAAATTTAAACAGTTTTAGTCTTTTTTAAAAACATTCAGTGGGCATGATGGAAGGTTTTTGAAAATCTCTTAGTGACCAGATCTCAGGGTCCAAATGAGCACCAGAACCTTGTTTGAAAAGATAGGCACCAGGAAATAGAAACATGTGGCCACCGGGACCAATATTTTTTCCAAAGGTTTAGTGGCATTAGACCCTATTAAAGTGCTGCCTCTTGGTCTTAAGATATTTCCTTAAGAATCCAGACATTTGGAAATAAAGTAAAGATAGGGATTGTATCAGGATGATTGTTCATGCTCAAGATAACAAAAATATTTTCAATCCAAATGTAAAACAAACCTTGATGTATCAGCACAGGAATATGTCAATTCTTATGTTCATTTGGAAAATACATAGACTAGCCAGTCACAGGACTTGAGTACACATATTCTGCTTTGCAATCAGACAGTTGAAGCTTTAGCTATCCTCTTAATTGGAGAGTGACCTTATCAACACAGCTAGGTATATCCTACTGGCAGCACAAAAGCTGTAACTGTAGTCAGGATACTAATTCGACATCTAAACAAAATAAACAAACTTGCATGTGAAATCATTTTTCATAAAGAAATTTGGAGAATTTTCACATGAAAGCCTAGGGCCACAATATTTATGCTCTGTTCTTTATCATACCCAAGATATCCTCAAATTTAAATGAATGGCTAAAGGGGTCATACTCAGAATGATAAGGCATTGCAACTTGCATGTAGCATTTCTAGTCCAAAATCAGCAGGAAGGCTACCATGGAGATTTTGTGTTGAGTAGAAATATTGAGTGTTGATTGCTTGTAAGTATATAATGGTAGCATAAAAGGAGAATACCTTAATAATTTATTTAGTTAAAATGCATAGGACAGTGGAACAAGAATGTGGTAGGCCCATTCCATCCCCCACATTTCTAACCCATTTCTAACCTATTACATCGTGAACTTTGGCATTAAAAGGATATTGAGTCATCAGAGAGACTATGGTCCAAAGTACAATGGTAAATCCTAGAACCAAAAATGGCTTAGGGTGAAGCTGATCACTGACCCTAGCAAAGCAGCTTCCAAAAGGCAACAGTAGACTCTGCCCTTCTTATCTAACTGATCAGCCAAGGTTGATCCCATGAGATAGTAAGGTGGTAATGGAAAAAAAACTAGTCTCTTATTGAGAGAAGGGGAAAAGAAACATTCTTGCTATTTAGACTTAATGATTGTTCTGTTATAGAAGATTTTTCACATTCATGTCTCTGGGGAGCATGTTTCAAAGTGTCTTTTATATTCAATACATATACCATACATATTAATAATCAGATCCATAATAATTAGGGGAATGTTCTTATGTGTTACTTGGGTAGAGTAGACATATGTCTCTGGAAAAAGCCTTTTGCGGTGGACCTGAAATCAACCAGTAAGATAGCCACAGAGTCCACAAATGCAAGAAAGAGCTCTATCTTCTTTAGACCCAAAAGAAGAAATCCAAGTAACCAACCTGTTATGAAACTGATGATTACTCCAGCAATGATGCATCCGAGGCAGCCCACAGCACTGTAGTAAAGGTAGGAGAGCGAGTACCAGGTATCAGCAATGGTGGGCCTGTGCGTAACAATAGCACATGTCATCAGTTTCAATTGTTCTGACATAGTCATCCACAATGACCTGAAGGACTGCTCAGGCTCCTTTTAGGACCTAGGATTGTTTAAACCCAAAGCTTAACATTTTAATTAGACATTACCTATGCTTCATATTCCACCAGATTCAAATCATCCCTGAATTACAAATATTGCAATGTGTAGACTGAATTCCGAGTATTTCATTGAGGACTGTGTCTTCCATTCTTTTTGTATTATTTATCTTTCAGGCATGTATTAAGATCAGATTTAATGCCAGGAATTGAGATAGCCATTGTCTACATATATGAACTAACAGAAAATCACAAAATGGACTTGGAAATGCATGGTGGAACAAGAACAAAGGATTGTGATAGGATGTGTGAGACTGTACTTCAGTTCATTTTAAAGAATGTTTACTAATCAGAAAAGAGAGTAATCAGGAACACAATTTCATATTATAAAAAAGGAGGATAATAAACATAGGCAAGAGGAAAGAAATAGTATGGCAGATTGAGAAATATAAAGTTTGATATTGTTCAACCATAAGACTTATGGAAAGGAAGGACTCTAACTGAATCTCAGAGGAAAAACAGAAGCATGATAAGATAAAGGGGTGTCCATATGGTGTGTAGCAAAGACCACCTGCTCAGTGTTCCATACTGAGCTCTATCTACTTCACCTTACAGGAAGAACCAGAGCAGTTCTCCACTTACTCAATAGTATAAAGAGCTAACATGCTAGATAAAGAGAGTTCATTGCATGTCTTTTGCAGAAAAGGAGGCAGAGATGACTGTTGAACTCCTGGGAAATTTGATTGGTAGTGATTCAAATGGAGTCTAGATGCAGATTTCCCATGGAAGCAACTAGGGTCTATTTCCTTTCTCAGTGAAGTAATTGATTTGTTACAATGCCATCATATCCTATGAAACAATGACCCAAAGGCAGCTTAATTTTACATCTTAGGAAAAACTATCCATTTACAGTTGTCAGGCATTGGAAAAGGCAACACATAGCTGGTTGCTTACATTCATTCAGCTGGTAGCCTCAAATGAATACTACCGCTTAAAAAACTTTTTAATAAATGTCAGAAGACCCACCTTCAGCTTCTGAATGTGCCCTCTTACTTAATATAATGTGGAAATAGAAATGGAACTATGCTAGAAATTTCTTTTTCTAAGCTGGCTAACTCTGCTACACCTAAGGACATCTTCTCTGTATTCAGAGTCACCATTGCAGGATGGCATCGCAAGTAATAAGACATCCTCACTGCTTACAAAAATGAGCTATGAGGTGAAGATAAAGATGAACCCTGATTTCAGTGTGGAAAAAGTGGAAAAAATTAAAATTATTTGTTGTTTCCTCCTTGCTCTTTTCCCTTATAAAAAGAAGGAGATACCCAGGCACAGTGGTGCACCCCTGTAATCCCAGTGACTAAGGCAGGAGGATCTCAAGTTCAAAGTCAGCCTCAGAAAAAGCAAGGAGCTAAGCAACTCAGTGAGACTCTACCTCTAAATCAAGTACAAAATATGGCTGAGGATGTTGCTTGGTCAAGAACCCCTGAGTTCAATCCCTGGTACCGCCCCTCTCCAAAAAAAAAAAAATGAATGAAATATATATATATGACCTCAAGGAATTTATTACATAGAGGAAAAATAGAACAGGAAAAAAAAGGTAAAAGGGGGGGAAAGAAGTAGAAGGACAGAAGAGAAAGCAATACAAGAGGAAACAATAATAAGGTATAACTGGTGGCACTGGGAGGACTCAGACAATGCCTAGAATGCCTTGGGAGGTTGTTTTAAGCATGGCCTTCAAGATGCCAAGGTTGTAGAAAAGTTTTAAGAATGGAAGGATAATTTGTTTAGAAAAGGTCTTTTCAAATTTTAACTATCTTTGAAATCTAAATATATATGTGTATGTGTGTGTGTGTGTGTAAACATTTAATTTATTTAATATACATTATGTATATTTATTTATGGGAATATAGGGATGCTAATCTGCATCTTGAAAGAGGAGTAGATTCTAAGTAGAAATAAATGTTAAAAGGAATTCCTTTGAAATGAATACCTTGATTAAAAGTAGAAAGGAGTGGAGTATATATAAAGTAAAGAGGAGGATCTAGAATAGAAGAAGGAGAAGGGTGAGAAATAACAGGACCCACAGGAAATTTCTACATTTCCTGAAAGGAATTTCATTCCAGGATAAAAAAAAATACTGTCCTTTTTTTTTCTGTAGACAGAAGATTTAAGTTACCTTGGTGTGTGTGGCAATCATGGACTCAGAAAATTGCTTCAGGAGAATACATCCAGTGAACATTTTGGATAGAGTGGGTTAGAAGAGAAGATAGAGAAAAGTAAGCAACCAAAAGGACAAATAGAATAATTTCACTGTCCTATTTTTTTTTTAAATGCTGAGAGTACCCTCAGGACTGACAAGGTAAATGGAAAGGAGAAGATATGCCAGGAACAGAGATATCCATAAACATAATTTGCAAAATTATTTGACAATTTTTAGAATGTTAAGCCCAGTGAAGACAAGCCAAAAGGGTAAGCATTGGTGAGAATCAGAAAAGAGTCATTCAAATCTGAGGACCACAAATTCTATATTCCTGAACTTGCCCCTATATTCAGTTAGAATGTTAGAATGTACATTATTAAAACTAAGATACAGTGGTGTATATATATATATATATATATATACACACACACACACACACACATACATACACGCACACATGTACATATACACACATATACACTACATATATATTCTAATTTTATCCTCTCAAAACCCAGTAAAATAAATGCTAAGAACCTCATTTTAAATCAATGGATTCTAGAATGCAAGAAGTGATCAGTTCCTAATTTGTTCAATGAAACAAGTAGATTAATGATAAAAGCACAATCCAGATCTAGGTTATTTCTGATTTGAGAGTCCATGGTATTCTCCCTACATCATAGTTATCTTCTGTATTTTGGTATCTTTGGATCTCTTAATCCATCCATAAATAGAAATGAAAATTCTTTGTTAGTACATGTGTTCACATAGCTTGATTTCGAAGACATAGGTTCCCAGCCTAGTATTTTCATAATCATTTTCCTCATTGTTCACAGTTTTTTCTACTCATAATCTTTATTCTATTAAGGGAACTATGATCCTCATACCCACCCATCTATTTTTAAACCTCTAATAATCTTTTTCTGTTTTGCACTCATATCTCCAATTTATCGCTCTCCCAGTTCACTGTTTTGTATACCTGAGTACAGAGAAAGAGGTATCTAAAGAAAGCAACAGCCCTACATAATGTTCTTCAGTTCTGGGCTCTGGAATTCTCTTAGGAGAACAAAATGCAGCTCATCAGCCTTAACCCTGAGGAATGCACTTTTTCTAAACTGGCATCCTGATCTCTGAGATGCAATGTCTGACATATTTTAAGGCAACATACCTGTTAGATAGCTCTGGAGGTGCTGCTGTCGTCATATTTGAGTGGAAACACTGCTCTGTTGATAGCGGCAAAGGCCATGTCTTAGAATCTGGTGCAGGGTAAATGAAGGCCCCAATGGCCACCCAAAATGATAAAGTGATTCCAGTAATGAGGCCTCCTAGTGCACCCTTGATGAAGAAAGGAAAGTCAATATGAAATTGGACAAAACGGTTTGTTGAAAGAATCATGAGATGAGAAGTACTGCACCAAAGAGGTTCTGGGTGTCCACCTCAAATCTGGGTCACATGTGCTGGAACACAGCCAAAACTACCTTCCTGTCAACTCTCCCAATACAGTGTCATTCAGAATTTTATAGAGATCATTATATTTAGATTTCTAACATGAATTATTTCTCTACCTCTGGTTTCTTTCTCATTATTTAAAAAGATTTTAAAACCCTAATTGCTTGCCAAAAAATAAGTTTCAGAAGTTAAGAAAAACTTCACAGAATGGAGACAAAGCAGTCATGTTTCATCAACATCTATTTACACAAAAATTCTTACTCGTGTCTGTCATCCCAAGTGATTCTGGCAGAGTCCAGTGACTTCCAAGATTTGGAATTTTTTGTTTGTTTGTTTGTTTGAGTCTAAATACTAGCAAGTAAGGGTATTTACTCATACTACCAATTACAAGGCAAAAGGTGACACAAATTTAAATATTTGCTTTCCTCTATCTATTATAAGGTGATTTTCCTGACTAAATAAAAGGACTGTTTACTATTACTATTGTTATCTATTTGCTAATTTAGATAATAAGTTAAATAGACAATGCATTAAGATCTTATACAGCAACTGCAGATATTTTTGTGACTAGGCAATCGTCTTTCTTCACATTATCTCCCAAGGACATAAATATCCTTGCAAATCTCAATATCATAAAAATGATTAAGACAGAGTTTTCCTAATACAACTGCAGGAGAAGTGTGAAAATGCCCTGAAATTTATCCATCCATCTATCCATCCATCCATCCATCCATCCATCCATCCATCCATCCATCCACTTTCTTTACCCAACCCCCCATGATTTATCTAAAAGAGTTCAATAAGGACCAGGTAGACACAGATGCCAAATCAGTTGACTTGGTATTTATGGAATACCCTAAGGCATGCACATAAATAAACAAAGAATCAGGTTATCTGGAGTTAAAGACTTTCTAAAAATATATGCATGCATGGTAAGTGTATGAATAACAATAAGTAAATGGTATTTCAAATTATTTTTATCATATTACATCATAAATGTTAATTTTGATATTTATTCCCTGCCTAGTCATTTGAACAACATTTTCTTGAATTTGTACTCCTAGCTTACCAGCCCAGCCAAATGAAGATGGTACAGCTATCATGATATCCCAGTCATGTCCCATCTCCTCCATACACATTAGTTAATCAAGTTAATAAAGCTAGCTACAATTTTAGATAACTACAGAAAAAATGAAATTGACATGTATTTTCACTTGAATTTCATTTTCAAACTTCTGTTTTAACTACACTGTTTCTGAATCCAGTGTCTTGTTTAAAGTTCATTTTGTTGTCCCTTAATTGAGAGAAATCTTAATTTAAACCTTAAAAAGTTACCTTTGATACCATGACATATGATAGTTCATGACCACCCCTTTCCTTCTTTGTTTTCTGTTTCTGAAATGGCTTTGCTGAAGTCAGATATGGGTGGATTTTGATTCTGTTTGATTCTACTATGAATTTTTTTCCTAGCAAAGATAAATAGATTTTCCAACCAGAGGTTAGAGGAAAAAGAGGTGAGGAAATATATCTGGGGTTTTATCTGAGCTGGGAATCACAAAGAGGGATGTAAGATGCTTACCTTCCAGTTCACAAAAGGGAACACAAGTCCCAAAGAGAATAAACCCAGCATTGGTCCCCCACACATGCCATGGATGCTGAGGGCAGCCTGTGGAATGAAGGAGATCAGATGAGTCTCACAACTCTACTCTATTTGTGGCCTACCAGAACCATCCTTCTCTGGGACTTGATAAAATTTGGTTCAAGTCCTGACTGTGCCATTTCCTTAGGTCAATTCTGGATCCAGTGATAAGCATTGTATAAAAAAAAGAAACTGAAAAAAAATAAATAAAAAGGAAAGTTACATACATATAAACCCACACACATGCTTGTATATATGTGTGAGTATATGTGCACATATGTGTGGTTGTAAAGTGAAAACAGGTGATTTGGATTTGCTTGAAGAAGGTTTCACTTGAGTTGGAACTTATACATTTGTTTGTATTTTTATATTATCAAAAGTTATTTGTTTTTTCTTTTTTTGACTAGAAATATAGGTTAGTGCTTGCCTAACATGTACAAGGGGCCTTGGGTCAGTTAGGAGCATCCTAAAAAACTGTTTTTTAAAAATAATGTACTGTGTTATATTGTTACGAGTATGTAACAACAATTCCCTTCTTTATATAAAACTATAATGCACCAAAAATGTGGAAAAATAAAAATAATGTACTAAATAAATATATCTACTACATTTTTTATATCTTAGTTGATAAACTATTTGACTTAGTTTGAACAATTCTTTCTTTCTTTCTTTCTTTTTTTGTCTGTTACCCAGCTACTGCCATCCCACCCATTACAGCTCTAGGATATTGAAGCATTAAGTTCAGACATGTGGAGAGGACATTATACACTCCACATTCCATTTTTTGTCTCTCATGATTATACTCCATCTCGTTTGGAAATTGAGAGAGTTTGAGAAGTGTATTTCCACATCTTTCAACCTCTAAGTTATAGATTCCAATGAACTGGCCAGGGACTTTCTTTAAACTAATTTTCTGTAAACATAAAACTTAATTCCATGGTCTTCCAAGAGTTAGAAAATACATGTGCATTTATGTGCAAGTGAATGAGCCTATGCAAATGAAGAAACACATAAATATACACTTGTGTGCATGTATTCACACCAACTACTGTCAATGAAGCCCCTTCCAGTTCCTCAAAGCACTTACAAAGGACACAGCTTATCTAAGATCTTATCCTGTTTTTCAGGGGCCAACTATATGCAAGACAGAACTACTTGTGCACCCTGGACAAATTTAATCCTCACATCGCTCATCTTAGTAGGTAACACTAAATTTTGTATCTGAGAAAATTGGTGCTGAGAGAAAATATCAAAGTTCACTTTGTATTTAGTGAGTGGCAGAGGTAAAGATATAAATTCAAATTGCTATGGCTCCAAATTCCACATTTTCTTTCTAAAAGTAGTCTTAAAAAAAAGAATGTCAAGAGCACAGACCACAATGTCCTAATTCTTCTGTTTAAAGGAAAAGCGATCTTTTGAAAGAATCCACCATTTATAGTTAGAATAATTGAATTGTAATTATTGCCCTGACCCACATCACTAGAATTTGTTGAACTTTCTGTAACTAACTCACATTCATTCAACTGCAGTTTTCTTCTTTCTCTATAAAACTATACAGGGACAACAGACCTTCCAGTCCTCTTCAGTGTTCATATCCAGAACACTCTGTCTTTGTCCAGAAAGATGAGCTGCTATGCATTGTTAGTATTGCTTTCCCAGGTTACTTTTTAGTAAAGTCAGCACTTCAGATATGTCTTTGACATGATGGAGCAGGTAAGATTAAAGGCTTCCTTTTCCCCATTATTCTCAATTGAATATTCTTGATATTTCCTCTATTGATCAACAGCATTAATTCATAGTTGCTGTAGTTGCTAAATTTGGAAGCTAATTTACTGGCTATTATATAGAAGATCAATGAAATAGTAAATATATTTCTCTTCCCTCATGAAATAAAAATCAACAAGCTCATACAGAGTCACTAGCCAGATGCCTCGGGAAAAAAAATATCCAAGAGTTTCTGGATTTAAGTGTGTGTGTGTGTTGAAATATAATATGCATATGTATCTCTGTGTTGGACAAAGCAAACTACTTTTAACTTTTATATTTCTTTTTGTTATTAAACATGTTTAATTGGAGGAAGAGTTAAAGCTCATCAAACTCAGTTTTCTCCTTAATGCTCAAAATCCAATCTGAGCTATTCCTACAAGTAAACAGCAATGTCTACAGGAATATGCTTTGTGTTCAGGGTTGACTGAGGAGCTTATGCATAATTAACCTTTCCATGCCTTATTCCTCATGTGTCAAGGGCACATCATAATATCTGCTTCCTAGTGGAGTTTTTTTCTGTATTTTTTTATTGTTTTAGTGAGTATTCAATGTTGAATCCAAGAGAAAGTTCAGAATGATGTCTGAGCACCAGGGAGCACATGATAAGGGGCCCAGAATGTGCACTATGACTCACAATCTTCATTGCTGCTATTACCTACCCTGTTAGTGATCTCTAAATTTTTGAAGGATATCCTGTGTTGTTGTAATGTTTTGAGATCTAGAAAGTACTTTCTTCAGGTGAGATTAAAAATGTATCCTCAAGTCACTTCAGTCCTTAGCTGACAGTCCTTAGGACAGGTGTGTGTTGGTTAGAATGATCTTTCTAGAAGGAAGGCTGCAATTCCTTTGCTGAAGGGAGATTTTTGTTGCCATTATCTGATCTCTCTCCCCTCTTCCACCTTATTATGGTTCTGTGTCACATATTTCAAGTGAAACAGGTTTCCTTACTGTTGGATTTCCCAGAGTCTTCAATGTATTAATATATGTTGTGGATCTGAGAAGGCAATGCAGTGTGCACCCTGTTCCAGTCTTTAACTATGGAAATTTTCTTCCTTGGAACATGTCACACATTTACATTTCACAGGATGACATTCTCCAGGACACACTTTGTAACATTTCAAACTAAAGTCTTACACCAGCATTGCTACACAAGCAAACAGAAACTCTGAAATAAACCAAATTATAAAATGTCAGCAAGAACAACCACACATTGAACTGGCCTGCCTTTGTTTAAGTGATCTGTCATTCCTGCCCCACCTACAAGAACATCTCATACGTGTGGGGTGGTTTTGCAAACATGAAATTAAAACTGGCTCTATCCTTCACACTGAGAGATTTGGGTTCCTTTTTCTACATGCAACATCAGAATATGAATAATGTTTCATTAAATCAAATATAGCAAAACTGTTTGGAAAATTAAATAGATCAACTTCATATATTTGTATTTCTTGTCTTGAGAAGTGTCTGACCTAACTTTCCTATGCACATATATAAATATATTTCATTGAATATCAACATCAAGTATATTCAAAAGACACTGAGTTTAAAAATATATATAAGTAAATAGCAGAAAGATCAGTAGAGTAGAGGGAAGAGAACAGAGGGAGGGAGGAGGAGAGGGAAAAGGGAAGTACTGGGGACTGAACTAGGACAAATTATATTCCGTGCTTTTATGTCAAAATGAATCCTATTATCATGTATAACTAGAAAGAACCAATTAAAACCTAGAAAAATTTCAGTTGCTTTTATGTGTCCAACAAAGTCAGATATGTTCACAAAAATGAATGGACCATCTTGGAGACTAATACATCTCCAAGGAAGCAGAATATCAGGGCTTCATTTCTTGCCTGCCAGCATCTCCTATACTGCATGAACTGTGTGGCACACATGTCAATCAGGAAAGTGAGCCCAGCTCTCATCTAAAGTAGGACAGGCAGGTGAGTGCATCCCTCAATGCACTCCCTACTCAAAGTGTTATTTCTCCCCAGTACTTGGGAAAGTCCTGGCCTTCTCTGGAGCCCCCTCATTTACCAATGCAAATATTTTTGGGAGGAAACAATTTAGAGATTCAAATTATCACCAAATTAAACAGGTTGACAATTCTTTAAGAATAAATACCAAATGAAAACAACAAGCCTCAAGGCTTCAGAAGCAGATTAGAAATAGAGATTCCATGAATTGTGAAAATAAACCTTTAAAAAATGCACATGAGGTCACTAAAAACGAACTTCGCCTAGTTTCCAGTGTTTCTTGTGGATAGGGAAATATCAGTATACTTCAAGCTGTGTAAAAGGATTATAATCAAGCATCTGTGATAAATAGTAAGTTCACAACTTAACAGAAAGGATACTAAATTTTGGTTCCACAAATTATCTTATTTAAACAGTAAGTAATCAAGTCACTTAAATATCTCAGATTTATTCTCTGAATATTAAAATGGAAATAACTGAAGCTATGTAAGTAGTCCTTTGAAAGAAAAAGTAGGATGAACTCTTTTGTGAACTAGAAAGTATATATATATATATATATATATATACACACACACACACACACATACATATATATATATAAAATATGGATTCTATTTTATTAATATCCACTCAATCTTACCATTGCTGTCCACTATCCAGTGGTTTCTATTCATTTACTCTTACTCATTTCTTCAATTAGGCAGCATTTATTGAAAACCCATATCATAGCTAGGCGCAGTGGAACAGACTTGTAATTCTAGTGACTTAGGAACCAACACAGAGGATTGCAATTTCAAAGCTAGCCTCAGCCACTTAGCAAGGCCCTAAGCAACTTAGTGAGATCCTGTCTCAAAATAAATTTTAAAAATTTAAAAAGGGATGGGGATATAACTAAAGCCCCTTGGGTTCAATCAATCCCAGGTAGCTGTGAGAACTTAAGCAGGATATTTTCACTCTTTTCTACAATCATCTACAAAATGAAGGTGTTGCAATAGATTATTCTTGTGTTTCTTTGTAATGCTAATGTTTTATGGAACTGGAAGTTGAATATATGAGCAACAGTTTGATTTTGATAATAAAATTTAGTTGTATCCTAATTTCACCACTCTTTAATTGTGTGAGTTTGGGACAATTCTTTGTTTCTTCATCAGGAAAATGAGTATATTAATTACATAACCCCTTAAGAAAGTTATAAACATTAAATTAGGTAATACATAAAGGGCTACACCTAGTTCATAGTAGGTATTATATATGTTAATTGGTGTTTTCACTATTATGGTTATTATTGATAGAATTTTAAAATTAATTTTAACACAGTGAACTTTGTCTCTATCCATTCTTGTTGTAGCAGTTTCTGCTTCTGAAGATACTTTTGGTTGAAATATTGCATGGACGTTTAATTGGGACCTGATATGTTTGAATATCAGTAGTTGAAGACTAGAGAAATAGTTAAAACATTAGAAAAATGAGTGAGGACAAAGTTGCTATGAAGTTAAATGTGTCTTTTCCCTTGTTAGTTACCTGTACAACGCCCCCCAGGAGAGATGCGGCCACAGCCATGGAGGTGCACAGGATGCCAAATAAGAGACCTGGAAGAAGGAAAGATATGACCATCATTTCCTTCCTTGAGTCCTCAACCAGCACTGCCTAATACCAGCCCTCTTCCAGGGGACTGCAGTGAGGGCTGTCCACATGTGGACATCACAAGCCCCACCCAGGGAACTAAGGTGACCCTTCCTCTGAGCACTTGCTTTCTCAGGTCAGGTGGAAGAAACCTGAGTCAAGCATCAAATAATTTCTAGGATTTCAGAAAAAAAAAATGTCTTACAGAAACAGCATAAAAATGTGGAAAGGGCCCAAACAAATCCAGACTAAATTGATGGAAAGTAATACCTGGTGAACCACTCACCAGAAATGTTCTAAAAAAAGAAGCACTCACCCTCTTTGGATTTCAGATGGCTAAGTAATATGCATTGCACCTCACCTTTTTTCTAGTCAGGAAAGCTTTCTGTTTTTCGTTTGTTTGTTTTTGTTTGGTTTTTTTCCTCTAGTGCTATATGCACACTGTCCTTAGGACCCTCTGTATATTACATAATCACGTATTTGTCTAAGCATCAACATGGGCAGCTTCAGAGTACTGTGCTCCTCTGGTGTCACAGCACTCACTAAATGTGTCAGCATGTACTTTTCAGTCATTTTTTAGGATGTTATCTTCTTTTAAACTATTAAAAAAGCATTTTTTACTGTATATCTTTCTTTAAAAATTATCTTTAAAATATGCTGAATTTCCACAATTGCTTGAAAACTAAATAAGAAAAGGAGGGATAGACAAAGAGCCAGAGAGAGACAGAGAGATAAATGCACAGGAAACCACTTTGTTCATTCTGTTTTAATGTTCTCTTTCTGTAAAATACTAAGTCTAGTTCCCAATGTTACTATTAATTTAATTTCATTGAATTCTGAGCATAATTTGGACACTTTAATTCATGCCAGTATTAAAAGTCAAAACTTGATACATACCCCCCAAAAGTTCACATTCTAAGAATGGACTATAAATTAATTAACTAATTAATCCTATAATTTACCTCAATTTAGTTTATTCAGAGTAGTGTCTGGTACTCCACAAGTACTATGTGTTTTCCATTATTATGATTTTACTTCAGATTTGGTATTTACTAATTTATCACTTAAGTACTATGAGAATCTCACTCTTGAAATTGGCAAACAAATTTTGATGCTATGTCCTCTAACTTTTCAATAAGACAGAGAAAAATAAGGAAATTCACAAAAACAACACAAACCACGGTTGATAAATAAGCCCTTGTCAAAATTCCAAAATGGCCCTGCTATCTTTAAACTTGATGGATTACACTGAAGAAAACAATGTTTGCACTGACTCAGTATTGTTTCATGAAAAAGAAGAGCTACATCTGCCTGAAGAAAAGAGCAAATGATATTTTCTCTCTCTCCTACTGAATGCCCTTCTCCTGGACCAACAGCTATCTGTTCAAATGAAATTCTAGGCAATCATCCTTCAAATTCAGGGGTTCTCCTTTTTTTGTGTGTGGTGATAGGGAGTCCATTCGGCTTCCTTTCCCATAAAATCTTTACACTACCACCAACTGCAATCAATGTCAACATGCACAAGCAGGAAGCTTAGGGGAAATTTGTACGAGTTCCATGGATACCTGAAAGCATGTCACCATGCAAAGCATTGAAGGTGAGGAGAACAAAGCTTTAGAGTTGCAGGAAGTTCTGTCGATTTTCCCAGATCTGCTAGTCATCAGCTAAAATGACTAGAAAAGAAAACACAGGCATAGAAGGCACCTCCACCTCAACCCAACATAGCCATGAATATCTTCTAGAAATTGAGTCTTGAACTTGGAACAATGCCTATCCACTTGTGATTGGTACTAACTCAGATAGGAAGTAAAATCAAGACAATTTAACTTCCCAGTTATCATGATCAGTATCCATCTCTCTTTCTTCGAACATAAGTAAAAAGTAAAGAGAAATATGGAATCCATGATAAAACAAGGCCAAAGAACAGAATGAGTATATTAATCTGAAGCTCAAATTATGACTTTACTTCAGATTTGGTATTTACTAATTTTATCAGGTAATCATTATCAGAATCTTACTCTTGAAATTGGATAACTCTCAAATAAAGGAAAGGTCCACTTTCTGAAAATAATCCTCCTGATGAAACAGAAAAAAAGAAAGCATCTAAAAACTGGCACTCTCAATATTATACAAGAAAACATAGTCTTAATGAATCAAAGATGTGTAGGTCAAGAGAAAACAAATGAGGTTAAAAGAAAACTAGCAATATAGGGTACAACAACAATAACTCTAGATGAAGATGGATACAGGTGGGTTGAAGCAGGACTACAAAAATAAAATAAAATAAAATAAAATAAAATAAATCATCATATTTGACCAAGAAATTCCACTTCAACCTATTTGTAAAAAAGCAATGGAAATATGTTCAAAAAAAGGATTTATGCAAGATTAGTCACAACACAATAAAGTCAAACTGAAATAGCCTATATCAATCAATAGACATAAGGTCCTCCATATCTGTGATGTCACATTGCCAGATTCAACCAACTGTGATTGAAAATGTTTTAAAAAAATGTGTCTGTAATAAACATTTCCAGACTTTTATTATTGGCATTATTCCCTAAATAGTATAGTCTAATAACTATTTACATCCCTATTTACATTGTATTAGGTAATATAAGTAATCTAAAGATAATTTAAAGTATATGAGAAGATGTAAACAGGTTACATGAAAATGTAACACCTTTTTAAGGAAATTGAGGAAATAAGAAAATTGAGTATCATCAGATTTTGATATGCATGGAATGTTCCAGATGCCAGCCCTGTGAATGGCTATGGATGTTAAAAAACAAGCTAATTAACTATCGAAAAAATAAAGAGCCTGTGTTATATTCCTACATGACATATTTAACAATTAAAAGAAATGAATTTCTGATACACAAAAAAAACACGTGTAATATAAATTTCAAAAATATGCTATGAAAGAAGTCTTACAGAGAAATAATGAGTACTGTGAGATTTCAGACATCCTAGAAGAGGCAATATTAATCTTTACAAGAAAAATAATATTAATAATTGCCTCTAGAAAAAAGTAGAAGTACAGAGTGACTATAAAGGGCATGGGAGTGATGGTAATTATTTATATATTCATAAAAGTTATGTAAGTATATGGATTTATCAAAATTCAGAAAAATATTTTTTAACATTAGTCCATTTCATTATAAATAAATTTCTTTACAATAAAAAAATACTTGAACTACATGCTCAATTCTAGTTAACAATATACATGCTAAGATTATGATGAAAAATGTGTTGATCTCTGTAATTTACTTTTAAAACTATAAAAATATGATGGATTAATGAATAGTCAGAGAGCTAAATAGAAGGTAAAAAAGTGAGTTTAGAATGATGCTAATTAGTGATCTAACTGATGTGTATATCATCCATAATATATATGTGAACTGTAAAGTTTTTAAACTTGGCTGTATAATTTTATTTTTATAATAAATGGTTAAGAACAGAACAAAATAATTAAAATCTCATCATTGTTACTAGATTTTGGTCTTGGAAAGTTCAAAACAACATTGAGAAAAACTTGAGTTTTTCAAGTATATAGAGGAAAGGGACAAGTTAGGAATAAAAGTCAAAAAAGTGGATTATATAGCAAACAAATAACGTAAAATTAAAAGTATGGCATCACAACTAGTCTTGGTGGCATGCACCTATAACACCTATAAAATGGACACTGAGACAAGAGGACCTTGAGCCCAAGATTGGCCAGGGCAACATACTAGGATCCCACCTCAGAAGAAAACAAAAAAGTGGAGGGTATAATAGAAAATGAATATTTGTAAATAATAAC